TTTGCTCCTATAAAGATGACAGCCTATAGAGTAGTCTGCTTTGTCATATAAAACCAATATGAGTTGGGATTGACATGGCGTCATTCAGTTTAGATCCATAGGAGGGAGAGTAGAAGACTGGGTTAAGTATTCATTCTAACAAATGTATGTCCATCATGAACTTGGCAATGGGAATTCAAAGAAGAAAGCACAATCTAAAGTTTAAGGTGCACTTAACCTAGCAAGGAATAGGGCTTTGAGCTGTGTGTTGGAGTGAAGTATGAGGGGAGAGGAGCTGAAAGGATCCCAGATGGCACAGGGTGCTTAAGTAGGATAAGGGGATGGTTGAGTTTGAGCCAAAGGAGGATGTGGCTATGTTCCTTATCTCTGGAAGACTGGATATCGTTCTAAAAACTGCTTTTTTAGGAAAGCATGCAGTGCCAATTAGACTTGCTGCTCCTGTCCCTTTTGAGCCTTTTGCTGCTGTCATTGTCATTCCATCTCGTCAGGGGTCTTCCTCTTTTTCTATAACCCTCCACTTTATCAAACATATGTCCCAAGTATGAAGACAAAGTCTTGCTATCCTTCTAAGGAACGTTCTGGCTGTACTTCTTCCAAAACAGATTTATTTGTTCTGGCAGTGCCTGGTACTTCTAATATTCTCCTCCAACACCATAACTCAAATGCATCAATTCTTCTACAGTCTTCCTTATTCATTGTCCAATTTTCACATGCATATGAAGCACTGAAAATACCATGGCTTGGTTCAGGTGCACAAAATATGTCCTCAAACTGACATATTTGCTCTTGAACACGTTAAAAGCTCCTGAGCAGCAGATTTGTCTAACAATACATCGTTTAATGTCTTGGCTGCTGCTGCCATGAGTATTGTGAATTCAAGAAAAATGTAGTTCTTTGACAACTTCCAATCTTATCTACAATTAATCATGATGTCACTTACTGGTCCAGCTGTGAGGATTTTTGTTTTCTTTACATTGAGATGCAGTTCATACTGAAGGCTGTAGTAATCTTTCATCTTCATCAGTATTTTAAGTCCTCTTCACTTCCAGAAAGCGTATCGCAAGTTAATGAGTCTTCCTTCAATCCTGATGCCACATTCTTATTAATACAATTCAGCTTCTCAGATTATTTGCTCAGCATACAGATTGAATTGTGGTGGTGTGCCGTAGAGTCAATTCAGACTCATAGCAACCCTGTACAGTGAGTGACCCTGTACAGGTTTTCCGAGGTTGTAAATCTTTACGGGAGCAGAATACCTCACCTTTCTCCCACGGAACAGCTGGTAGTTTTGAACTGCTGACCTTGAGGTTAGGAGCCCAATTTGTAACCACTATGCTACCAGAGCTCCTTACAGATTAAATAAGTATGGTGAAAAAATACAACGCTGGAGTATACCTTTCCTGACTTAAAACTATTCAGTATCCCCTTGTTCTGTTCTAATGACTGCCTCTTGGTCTACATACAGGATCCTCATGAGCACAATTAAGTGTTCTAAAATACCCATTCTTTGCAGTGTTAGCCATAGTTTGTCATGATCTACATAGTTGAAAGCCTTTGCATATTTAACATCTTCCTGGATTCTGTTCTCTGCTTTCAGCCAGGATCCATCTGATGTCAGCAATGATAGCTCTCATTGCACATCCTTCGGCAATATCTTACTCATATGCAATACTAATGATATTTGATGATTTCTGATTCCATTGGAATGGGTACAAATATGGATTTCTTCCAATTAGTTGGCCAGCTAGCTGTCTCCCAAATTTCTTTGGATAGATGAGTGAGCACCTCCAGTTGAAAGGATTCAATTTCTGTTCCATCAATACCTAGAGCCTTCAGTGTAGCTTGGACTTCTTCTTTCCGTACTATTGGTTCTTTATCATTAACTAATTTTGGTACAGAGACTATGTATTCCTCCATCTTCTTTTGATGGTATGCGTCATTCAATATTTTGCACATAGAATCCCTTCATAAAGGCTTGAATTTTTCCAATTCTTTAAACATGAAAAATGCTGTGCATGTTCTTCCAGGTCTTTGCGCATATTTTATTATAATACTTGTCTAATCGACCTGTCCTTTGGAATTTTCTGTTCACCTCTTTTACCTCATTTCTTCCATTTGTTTTAGCTTCTCTATGCTCAACAGCAAGTTTCAAAGTCTCTTTTGACATCCATTTTGGGTTTTCCTGTTTTTTAATGACCTTTTGCTTTCTTCCTGTATGATGTTTTTGATGTCATCCCACAACTTTTCTGGCCTTCGGTCATTATAGTCTAATGTATCACATCAGTTCTTGGATTAGTGTCTAAATTCAGGTTGGATATAGTCAAGGTCATGTTTTGACTATTTTGAACTTGTTTTAATTTCCTTCAGCTTCAGCCTGAAACTTGCATATGAGCAATTGATTGTCTGTTGCAAAGTTGGCCCTGGGCCATATTTTCGCTGATGATACTGAACTTTTCCACCATCTTTTCCCACCCATGTAGTCAATTTGATTTTCTGTGTATTCCATATGATGAGGTCCATGTGCATAGTTGCCTTTTGTGTTACTTAAAGAAGATATTTGCAATGAATAAATCATTGGTCTTGGAAAATATTATGTGATCTCCCAACGTTGTTTCTATCACCAACACCATATTTTCCTACTACTGGTCCTTCTTTGGTTTTCAACTTTCTCATTCCAATCAGCCGTCATTATCAATGCATCTTGATTGCATGGTTGATTAATTTCAGACTGGAGAAGTTGGTAGGAATCTTAAATTTCATCATCAGTGGCTTTAGTGGTTGTGTATAAATTTTAAATAGTGGCATTAACTGGCCTTTTTGTTGTATAAGTGCTGTCTAGTCGGTTCTGACCCATAGTGACCCTGTATAGGGTTTACAGGGAGTGGCTGGTAAGTTTGAACTGCCAGCCTTACTGTTCAAACTGACCTTGTGGTTGAGTGCTTATCCTATAGTGCCTATGGTGCCACACCAGGACTCCTGGGCATTAGTGAGCTGAATTGAATATTATCCTATATCACATATAGCACTGTACTTCAAGATGGTTCTTGAAATGTTCTTTTTGATGATGACTGCAATGCCATTCCTCTGGAATATGTCATTCTTGGCATAGTAAATCATATGATTTTCAGATTCAGCATGGCCAATACCAGTCCTTTGCAACTCACTAATGCCTAGGATACCTGGTGTGACGCTATAGGATAAGAACTAGACCGCAAGATTGGTGTGAACCACAAGGTTGGCAGTTCAAACTCACCAGTAACTCCTTAGAAACCCTATACAGGGTCTCTATGGGTCAGAATTGACTCAACAACACTTAACAAAAGCAATGCCTAGGACATGGATCTTTATGCAATCCATTTCATTTTTGACAACTTCCAATTTTCCTAGAATCATACTTCATACGTTCCATGTTCCAACTGGTTTTTCTCATTTTAAGTTGTGCCTCATTACCATTGTGATCAACTCTACTTTGAGGAAGCAGCTCTTTTACAGTCATATTTTGAGTACCTTCCAACTACATCTGACAGTGCTCCACTGCTATTCATAAGGTTTTCAGTGGCTAAACATTCAGAAGTAGTCTGTCTCCTTCTTAGTCTGTCTTAGTTTAAAAGCTCCGCTGAAACCTATCCATAATGGGTGAACCCTGCCTGGTATTTAAAACTGCTGGCATAGCTTCCAGCATCATGGCAACATACAAACCACAACAGTTGACAAACTGAAAAGTGAGTGGTAGATCTTTATCTTTAGTGCACACTGTCTTTCAGTCTTTGTCATTTAACCATACCTATCAGGCTGTGAACCGAAAGGTCAGCAGTTAGAAACTACCAGCTGTTCCGCGGGAGAAAGATGAGGCTTTCTGCTCCCGTAAAGATTTATAGCCTCAGAAACCCTGTACAGGATTGCTATGAGTCGGAATCGACTCCAAGGCACATTACAACAACAACAACTACATGTTAGGCCCTGGGGGAAACCATACTATCAACTCGTTAGCACAATCCAGTGAGCAAAGCAAGACTAAACAGTGTGTTTTGCCCCATGCATTTTATCCCCAGTGCCAGCCTGAGGATTTAGGGGAGGTTTCCCCTAGGCAGTGGCCCCAGCAGAGTCAGAACACCCTAGAATGATTTTGCACATTTTCCCCATTTCCTTGTCCTTAGGCCAAAATCCATTCCCCATTCCAATCTTAACACTAACTGCTTGGCCCAAGATGGACAGCAGTAAGGAAGCTGCTACCCCAAACTGGCTGGCTGAGGCTGCCCAAAGTCCTAGAAGGAGGAAGTAGTTAAGTATCTTATCCAAAAGGATATAGCAGTCTGAGGTCTTAATCAAGGGGAAGCAGCCTGCTTGCTCCTTCCTTCACTTATGGCCAAGTCACTATGAGCCACAGCAGTGCAGCCAGTTTGGGGAGGCAGCAGGGGATGGGCAGGAAGGTTATAGAACAGTGGGCAGCAATACAGGTGGTGGTGTTGTTATGTGCCATGGAGTCGGTTCCGACTCATAGCGACCCTATACAGGGTTTCCGAGGCTGTAAATCTTTACGGGAGCAGAAAGCCTCATCTTTCTCCCGCGGAACGGCTGGTAGTTTCAAACTGCTGACCTTGCCGTTCACAGCCCGATTCGTAACCATTACAGGTGTACAGACCAGTTAATTCTTGATTGTACTATCCTCAACCAGAAGTGGTGGTAACTTGTACTAGAGTGGTGGTAGTTGAGATGGAAGATTCAAGAGACATAGCAGAGAGTTAGAACCAATAGGACTTGGTGGTAGACTGCTCCCTGAGAAAGTGGAGTGAGTCATTACTGTCAGCCATCAGCCTCACCTCCTTCCTGGCAATCCTGGAGACCACGTGGGTGTGTACAGAAGCTAGATAAGCCCTTTGCTGTACCCACTAGTTGCTTTGGACCCCAGTTCGATGATAAAAGACTTCCTGTGGTGGAGTCTGAAGAGAAAAGGAAGGAGCTGGCCCATTCCTACTTCAGGAGGTTGCAAAAGAAGGAAGATGGCTAGAGCTTTGTGTCTACAGCATTCTGTCTGGTTCCTGGGGTGGACACAGCTGCTTTTAGGCCTCTGTGGTATCCCTCCAACCTGGGCCTTGAACCTGGACCCAGTGCGACACACCATCTACACAGGCCCCAATGGCAGCCACTTTGGGTTTTCATTGGATTTCTACAAGGACAGTCGTGGAAGGTGAGCCATGCGGGACGTTTGGGGGCTTGAAGGAGGAACCGTAGACCCTGTAACTGCTTCTGTAGGCCTGAGTTCCCCATTTGTAATGGAGGTTGAGCCAAGATGATTTCTGAGAGCTAGCCTGAGCTCTGGTTAGAAATACTATGGAGGAACCAGCTCAGGTGAACTTCAGGGAGGGTATATCAGGGAAGAAAGGGGTACTAAGAGCACAGCAAAAGGAAGACAAAAATTGCCTCATTTTCTCTTGAGGGTCCATTGTCAGGCCCACTCTGCCCTCAGCCCATCAAAATACACAGGAAAATCATGCCCTAAGATGACTTGGCAGAATTGTAAAAGTGTCCACTTACTCCCACCTGCATTTCTACTCCATTTTCTTCATCCTTGTTTTTAACATGACGTATTTGAAAAGACAATACAGCATTGATCAGTCTAGGATGTGTTACTCTGAGCTAGTTACTTAGTGTGATCCCACGGTGATGTCCAGCTTCAGGAAGTACAAGGGCAGAGAGCAAGTGTCAGTGCCCTATGGGGTTTCCTCTGCTGAAGAGAACCACCTTGCCCAAAGTCAAAACCATTCCCAAGGTGGTCCACATCCAATGACTGATCAACATAAAGTGTGTGTGCAATAAAGATCTGACCCTCTTAATCAGTTCAGAACAATTTGGAAGGGTCCTTCTAGCTCCAGAGCATCAGGGATGGGAGAGAGTTGGCCCAGGTCTTTTTTTTAATTAAGGTTTTTATTGTGGCTTGAGTGAAAGTTTACAGAGCAGATCATCAGTTTTACATCCATCAAATTATACACCTTGTTTCATTACAATGATTATAATCCCCTCCATGTACCATCAACAGTATTTCTCTATATCCACTTTAGTCCTTTTTTTTTTTTTAAACACTCAGGCATATGTAATAATTTACACCATCAAAGGGCACATTCTTCAAGCCTGCCTCCTGACCACCAGCTCTCAGTCCCTCTCCATGAATCTAGAGTCCTCAGCTGCTCCCTCTCTCTATGTCCCCATCTCTGCCTCCATCCCTGGTGTCACTGCTTCTCTGGATAAGGTCTCACATTCTGCTTGTGCTCCACTCCCTTGATGGTCCTAGGATCCTTTGTTTCGGGACTGTAAGATAAACTACTCCCCAGTTTTTGTTACAAAACTTCTACCTTTACAATTGTGAAAGTCCCAATTAGTCATGATAACAATTACTTTTGAATCATACGAATCTTAGCCGCATCTCTTAGTTGAGTTCTGATTATCAAGCTATTGAGGCTATGTCAGGTGGGTACTATCTGCAATTTTAGTTGGTGTTGTTTGGCCCAAGTCTTTCACTGAACCTGCCTATGCACTTGACTCTTGCTCACACCCAATTCCCCTCCTTTCCACAGGCCTTGTTTCCATGAGTGCTTTTTAAAAATACAGCACTTTATTAAGCATTAATATGTATCTGAGAGTGTGGTGGCTCCATACAATAAGCAGTGGAGTGTGAATTACAAGGCCCATGGTTTGATCCCACTAGCTGCTCCACGGAAGAAAAATGAGGTTTTCTACTCCCACAAAGATAAAAAGCCTTGGAAACCCTATACAGGATCACTATGAGTTGGAACTGACTCCATGGCACTTACCAAGTGGCTGGGACCATGCCAGATCTTCAACATTTACCTTATTTACAGCAGTGACTGGCTAGTAGTGTCCCCATTTTACATATGAAGTCATATTTTAAAAGATTAAATGACTGGGCAAAGTGGTTTGAACTTAAGTCTGCTAGTGTTTTCAGCTTTATCAGCAATCCCCTCCCTCACAAATATCCTCTGGCTTCATTATTCCTATTAATATCAATTCTCAAAAAAGGATCTGGTAATTGCAACTAGTCTCCAGACAGATGTTCTAGGTACCAACAACAACAGCTGTTGTTAAGTGCTGTTGAGTCACTTCCGACCCATAGCGAGCCCCCCAGGAGCGGCTGGTGAGTTTGAACCGGCGACCTTGCAGTCCAGCACATTAACCCACAGCGCCACACCAGGACTCAGTAGGAATAGTCCCAGCTTTATCCTTACTGTTGAATTACTTTAGGAAACAGTTTAACTGTCCATAAAGTGAAGATGCTGGCCTGGGTGATCTGTGAGATCTTGTTGAGGAAAATTGATCCAGTCCCTCCTCACCCCAACCTCAACCCCACCCCACGGCACCCCACCCTCCGGACAGTATTCCCAGGGCAAGCACTGGGTGTGGGGCACACTGGAATTCGCTGCGTTCACCCAGCTGTCCTCTGCAGCAACGTAGCTATCGTGGTGGGTGCCCCTCGGACCCTGGGAGACAACGAGGAAGAGACCGGTGGCGTGTTCTTGTGCCCCTGGAGGGCTGAGGGCGGCCAATGCACCTCGCTGCCCTTCGACCTCCGTAAGTCTGGCAAGGAGGGACCAGAGGGAGCGTGGACAGCTGGGCTTCAACGCCACCCACCCCACCCTCACACTTCTTCTGTCCTCCAGGGGATGAAACCCGACGCGTGGGCTCTCAAACGTTCTACACCTTCAAGGCCGGGCAAGGACTGGGGGCGTCGGTCGTCAGCTGGAACGACAACATTGTGGTGTGTGTGGCCCCGGAACTGGGAATAAGGGAGCAGAGGGGCAAGGAAGAGTGAGGCGGAAACCGAGCCCCGCGCCCTTCACCACTTTCTTCTGGCCTTGCCTCAGGCCTGCGCCCCCTGGCAGCATTGGAATGTGCTAGAAAAGACGGAGGAAGCCGAGAAGACTCCCGTAGGTGGCTGCTTTGTGGCTCAGCTCCAGAGCGGCAGTCGAGCCGAGTACTCGCCCTGCCGAGCCAACACCATGAGCCGGGTTTATAGCAAGAACTACTTTAGTAAGCTCCGCCTCTGTTCTGCCCCCGCCCACTCTCATCCATTTAGGCCCGCCCTTAATCTCCTCCCATTTCCAGCGCTCGCCCAATTGCTGAAGTCCTGGTCCAACTCTGCCCTGCCCCTCGAGTCCTTTCAAAGCCCCCGCCTTTATATCACTCCGGTCCTGAAGCCACGTGGCTCCGCCCCTCGGGCCCAGGCTCCAGTCCACATTTGATTCCCTCCTCCTTGCGTCCTTTAGGCGGGGACAAGCGCTACTGCGAAGCTGGCTTCAGTGCGGTGGTCACCCAGGCAAGTAGGGTGCGTGGGTGACGTGGGAGCAGCCCTCAAACAGGGCGACCTCTCACCTGCAGGGCTTCTCTTTCAGGCTGGAGAGCTGGTGCTCGGGGCCCCGGGTGGCTATTATTTCTTAGGTATGTCCTCATACCATCTGTACCTCTCCCTCCCTTTTCGTGGCTCCGCAACGCAGGGTGACCCCGGACACATGGACCCCCACACCCTATCCTTGTGTTCTAGGGCTCCTGACCCGGGCTCCAATCGCCGATATCGTCTCAAATTACCGTCCTGGCACCCTCTTGTGGCACGTGTCCACCCAGCGCTTCACCTTTGACTCCAGCAACCAAGAGTTCTTCGATGGCTATCGGGGTAACTAGCCCTTGTAACGAGCTTTCAAGTATCCCAGCCCCCTCAGGGTCACCGCCCAGCCCAGCTGGTCAAGTACTGAGCCTCTGCCCTAACCTTGGCGCCTCCAGGCGCTGTCTCCACTGTGCTAACCGTATACTGCCCAGCCCCATGTGCCTCGCCTCCCTCAGGCGCCAGTCTCCACAACGCAGGGTTGGGCCGGGATGGGCCAGGAGTCCTCTCCTTCCTCGGCCTCGTCCTCCTCCCTGCTACTGCCTCTTGGAAAGACTAATAATTCTCACTGTATCTTCAGGGTACTCCGTGGCTGTGGGCGAGTTTGATGGGGATCCCAAAACTACAGGCAAGATACCCTTAAGCAGGAACGGGGTAGGGAAGCCCAGCCCTGAAGTACCTTCAAGCCCAGCACTGAAATCTCCCCAGGGTGCGGCATAGGGGACAGTGGGCAGGCACGTGGGCACTAAGGATCTGACTTCTGGGCCTGGCTTTCCCCAGAGTATGTCTTTGGGGCCCCCACCTGGAGCTGGACCCTAGGAGCGGTGAGTACCCGCTGCCCCTCCACTCACCATCCCGAAGCTCCGACCCTAGTTCTCAGCTTGACAACAACCCCCAAACCTGCCCTGTCTTACCCTGAGCCCGAGGATGCGTGAGTTAGGACTGACGCTCCTTCCTGTATGCTCGGCGACAGGTGGAGATTTTGGACTCTTACTATCAGAAGCTGTATCGGCTGCATGGAGAGCAGGTAGGGCCACGTCCCAGTGTGGCCAGCTGAGGCTGTGGGACTAGGACTCCAGAATATCCCACGGGGTTAGGGAGGGCGAGGTCTGAGAGAGAATTCTGGGTCCAAGAGCACGAGTTGAGGCGCTCCACGTCTTCCGGCAGATGGCTTCGTATTTCGGGCACTCGGTGGCTATCGCTGACGTCAATGGGGACGGGTGAGGAGGGCGCGGCCCACCCTCAGTCTCCTCCTTTTCTTGCCCCCACCCCACGTGATCACCCAAGCTGAGTGGGAACAAGAGAGAGTGACATTTAACCTGGCCCTCAGCATCCACCTCAATCAGTCCCCACGTAACACCACAGGAGACACGACTTGCTGGTAGGCGCACCTCTGTACATGGACAGCCGCGCTGACCGCAAACTGGCCGAAGTGGGGCGCGTGTACTTGTTCCTGCAGTCCCGCAGTCCTCACGTACTGGGCACCCCCAGCCTCCTACTGACCGGCACCCAACTCTATGGGCGATTTGGCTCTGCCATCACCCCCCTGGGCGACCTCGACCTGGATGGCTACAATGGTGAGGGCAGAGGAGTGCCACTTATCGTGAGGGTTTAACAGTCACGACAAAGAACATGCACCTGACTTGAGAGGACTGGAGCCAGGAAGGGCTTTGTAAGCTGAGAGTGACCCAATCAGATAGGTGGTTTAGAGACAGGAGACCAGTTAGAATGAATTTGCATTAATTCAGGCAACAGATTTTGACCATTTGGTGATGGAGTTCAAGATGAGGATGAACCACATATTTAGTAGTTGGTTGTTTGGACCTGATGGGTGGCTGGGTGTGGGTGGGGCTAAGGAAGAGGGAGGAGATGGGTGGGGGCTGGTGCCCCTTGCTGCCTCAGGGAAGTCTAGGGGTGGGGAGAGATCAGCTGTTCAACTCTGCACCTAGTGAGCTTGAGTGCATTCTATTGAAATGCCCAGAAAACAGTTGTTTGTGACTTTCCTCATTTCCAGAAGAGAGGTCTAAGATTTGAGGAGCCTGTGAGATGAGAAGTAGCCTAGGATAGAGCCATTTAGGTGACTCACAGTGGAGGTAGATCTGAGAAGCCAAAGAGAGGTAGGCGGGACACCTGAAGAGCTGCTGGTCCAGTTTTGCTTCAAGCAGTAGGGTAGGGATGCCTATGGCTTCTGATACTGCTGCAAGGAATTGGAGACGTATCCACGGACTTCAGCAAGAAGGTGATCATTGGTGACAGTGAGAAGAGTCATTTTAGGATAGGGTAAGGGCAGAGACCAGAATGCAATGGGTCAAGATATGAATGGAGTCCTGGTGTGACACTGTAGGATAAGCAATGGACTACCGCAAGATCGGTGATTCAAAACCACCAGACGCTCCTTGGAAACCCTATGCAGGGATGCTATGAGTTGGAACCGGCTTGGTAGCCTTAACAACAGCCTTGACAACGACAAGAAACTTCGAATGGGGGTGGAGAATTGGCGGCAGTCAGAGCAGACAGCTCTTTCAACATGTTTGACTGTGAAAGGGAAGAGAGACAGCATGGAGACTGAAAGGAAGTGAGGGTCAAGAGAAACTTGTTTTAATTGGAAGAAGATGAAATGAAATAGAGAAAAAAGTGATCTTGTATGGAGACAAGAGGAGAGGTTGATCTAGAAAAGGGTCTTTACCAAGCATTGGAGGGAGAAATGGGGGGCCTCTCAGCCCAACAGGAGGGGTGAAGAAGGGACACATAGCCAGGGTCAAATGGGCAAAGGGAAAAGAGAATGGGTGTGGATTTCTAGCACAGAGTTGATGTGGAGACACCCGTGGCTGCTCTTTGTGAATTAGAAGATGAAGTCATCTACCAAAGAAAGTGGAGGCTGGGATCTTGACAGAATGGAGAAATTTGAGCAGACTGGAAGAGGGAACTGAGCCGAAATTGTCACAGCACTGTTAGGCAGCACTGAGGTCCCTGGTAATGACTGGAGATCATGAACCCATGGTGATCCAATCTGCTGTGTCTCTCCAGCAGCTGGATATGGAATTAACCTCAGGTAGGATCTGGAGTCCTGGTGTAGCGCTTTAGGATAAACACTGGACTGCTGACTGCAAGGTCAGCAGTTCAAACCCACCAGCTGCTCTTTGAAAACCCTGTTAGTCGGAACTGACTTAATGGTGCTTAACAACAACAGACATGCCTAGGGAGTGAAAATGGAGCAAGAAGGCTGAGGATATGGCAAGGGTGGTCAAATAGTCAGGATAAGGAAATCAATAGATCCAAAAAGAGTAGAGGTCAGGGACTTGGGAAGCAATTGTGGTTAGAGTGGGTCATTTGTATGAATTCTGTATAACTTAGTCAGAAAAGTCAATAAATATATTTAAAAGGAAAAATTAAAACCCTACCACTAAACCATAAAAAAAGTTGCAAGACAAAGAAAAGACGGTTGTAACACACACCAAAGATCTTAATTTCTACAACATGCAAATAATTCTTACAAGTTAATAAGATTGTAATCATTAATGCCCACCAAAATATATTTTGAAAGGAAATCTTAAAAGTTATTAATGATTACAAGCCCATAGCATGGCTCTGGATTTGCCTGGCAGAAGTGGAACTGGATGAAGGCCCACTGGGGAAAAGGCGCCAGTATTTAGTCCATCTGTTACTTAATTGGAGTCCCTGGATGGCACTTGATATTAATGGACAGGTTGATGGCTGGAGTCCACCCAGAAGTATCTACTTCTAAAAAATTAGTCATTGAAAATCCTTTAAAGCACAGTTCTATTCTGACACATGTGGGAGGGTTTTGTTTGGGGTTTGGTTGGCTGGTTGGTTTTAGTTACTTAATCTTCTAGGACTCAGTTTTCTCATCTAAAATGGGAATAGTCATGTCTGACTTCCAGCATTAAATGAGATCAGGTTGACCTTTTTATCTCAACATGTGTATGAGGGCTGTGACAATTTTTCTAACAGTTCCTACTTGACAAGCCTATTTCATCTGTAAAGTCCTAGAAGGCAGGAAAGCTGTATCTTTGGCCCAGACCTTTGTACCCCTCTGCTGGTCTCCTAGGGGTCTTCCCAGAGAAGGTGCTTAGGAAAGTGTCACCAACTCACTGGGTGTTTGAATAACAATCACTCTCTACCTATTGCTCCTTCCAGATGTTGCAGTGGCTGCCCCTTATGGGGGTCCCAGTGGCCAGGGCCAGGTATTGGTGTTCCGAGGTCAGAGTGAGGGACTCACCTCACGCCCATCCCAGGTCCTAGACAGCCCCTTCCCCAAAGGCTCCGGCTTTGGTTTCTCCCTTCGAGGTGCCACAGACATCGATGACAACGGATACCCAGGTGCCCCTGAATCGCTTCCTGTTGGGCAAGAAGGGGCCATAGGCATTAGCTACAGTGCTAAGAGACATGGCCAGGGCCCCATGTCTGAGCTGGTATCCCACTGAGGGCTCTGACCCCTTTGTTATAGGGTACCAGGGGTGCCAGTTCAAACCTCCAGTGAAGGAAGTGGTATGGGGAGCCCCTGAGAAGATGGTGAGGACCCCGTGTCCTCTCTAATTGCCAATCCTGATCTCCACCCCTATTATCTGTAGACCTGCTGGTGGGAGCTTATGGGGCCAGCAAGGTGGCTGTATACAGGTGAGTACTGGGTCCAGGGACAGTGTGGGGAGGTTCCTCAGGATGAGACAGCCCACACCATCAGGGAGGCTGGACCAAGAAGGGCCACAATGGCAGGTCTCTGCATTCCTTCAGAGCTCAACCTGTGATGAAGGCCAGTGTTCAGCTGCTGGTGCAAGATTCGCTGAATCCTGCTATAAAGAATTGTATCCTACCCCAGACTAATACAGCCGTGAGCTGGTGAGGAGACGGAGGGCAGGGCTGGGCAGGACCTGGGTTTTCAGTGGAGCCCTCAGCCCCTGAACCCCACCTGCATCTTTGTAGCTTCGACATCCAGATGTGTGTGGGAGCCACCGGGCACAACATTCCTCAAAAACTGCGTGAGTGGCAGGGCAAGAGGGAGGAAGGACTGGGTTCCCCCAGAGGCTGGCCGGGGAGCCCTGAGAACCTTCCACTTGCCCTGCCAGGTCTGAATGCTGACTTGCAGCTGGACCGGCAGAAGCCACGCCAGGGCCGCCGGGTGCTACTGCTGGGCTCTCAGCAGGCGAGCGCCACCCTGCAGCTGGACCTGGGCGGGAAACACAGCCCCGTCTGCCACACCATCAAGGCCTTCCTCCGAGTATGCCCAGGCTAGGGAGGGGTGGGCAGTGTGGGTTCAGTGGTGGTGAGTGGGACATGGTCCCTGCTGGCCATGACAGGGTGGAATGTGCATGGTAGTAAGATGACCTGACTCTTGCCCCCTTCCCCAGGATGAGGCTGACTTCCGGGACAAGCTAAGCCCCATTGTGCTCAGTCTCAATGTATCCCTGCAGCCTGAGGAGGCTGGACTGGCCCCTGCTCTTGTGCTGCATGGAGACACCTACATTCAGGAGCAGGTGGGGATGGGCAGGGGTAAGAGCTCTGTTAGAAGGTCAGGGGAGGATTAGTGCCCCAAATGTGACATGCATCCTAAAATCTTGTTGTCCTGTTTAATCTCTGATGACAATCTAAACCCTGATGAAAACTCTCCAGATTTCAATATCTCTTAACACCCTGCTGTGACCTCCAAGTGTTGGTGTGAACTCATAAACTCTGATGTCACCACCAAAACCTAATGTAAATCCCAAAGCCCTAAACGCCCCTAAACACCCTTTCATCCTCAGATTTTCTTAGTCCCTAAACCCTGATGTGAATCCTAGCTCAATGTTGACTGTAAAGCTCACTTGCCCCAGCTACCCACACACCCGGCTGTGCCCCTCTAGACCCGCATCATTCTGGATTGTGGAGAGGATGACCTGTGTGTGCCCAAGCTCCAGCTCACTGCCAACGTGTGAGAAGACCCCCATTGTACCCTGCTGTGACACTGTATGCCCTAACCATGTCCCCTTTACACCTGATCCTAATACTCTGTCCTCAGCCTCTTCTTCCCCTCAGACCCTGGGCCTGGACCAGGTATCCCAGACTTCATCCCTTTATCCCCACAGGAGGAGTTCCCCACTCCTGATTGGCACTGAAAATGTGCTGGAGCTGGGGGTGGGCGCTGCCAATGAAGGTGAGGGGGCCTATGAAGCTGAGCTGGCCGTTCACTTGCCCCCAGGTGCCCACTACATGCGAGCCCTCAGCAACATTGAGGTAAGGCCCCCACCCCTGGGGGCACTAACAGGAGCTTGGGAGGTGCAGAAACTTTGATTGCCACTTAGCTTATGCTTTGCTGTAAAAACTATTATGTGTG